CTTGGTACTAAGAGATGAAGGTCACCTGTGTTGTCATGAATTTTTTTTATAAACCTGAACTGGATTGTAATTCAGACTGAACAGTGTTTTGCCTACAAACAAAACAACAAAACCCTAAAACTATAAGGCAAGAGGCACAGGGTAATGTCAGGGGAGGGGTGCAGGAGACTCAGGCTTTAAACCCAGACAGAGTAGAGTTCAAGTCCCAGCTCTGCCGTGCATTGGCCCTGAGACCTTTAAGGCATCACTGGGCACCTCGGGGCTTCTGTCTTCTCATCTGTAAAATAGGGACAGCAGCAGCCACCTCAAAGGCTTCTTGTCAGATGTAAATGTCTGCAGAGCACTGGGCACAGGAGAGGTGCAATCAGTGAGAGCTGTCATTAGCTGTGACCGTCACCATGGGATGGCATCCCCCAGCGGCATTTAAGGCACAATCCCTGCATGGTTCTGCTGCTGAGGGGAGTCGTGAGAAAGCACTGGAGCCTTCCTCTCTATGTTCCAGATAAGGAAACTGAGGCTCAGAGAGGCAAATTAGAATAGACATAGGAAAATAAAAAGCTGAAAATGTCGCAGAAAGTCTGTTCTTGAGCTTGTTCTGGCCGTGGGAGGCACAGGTAGTATGGTCAGGATTTTTGAGACCTATTTACAAGGCCAGGACCCACAAACTCCACCCCAGAGATGCCACAGCAACGACACCACCCTGTCCGCCAGAGGATTGATTTCTGGCAGAGCAAAGCAGGGGCGGTTGGTCCTGTCCTCAAGGCTGTGGGCGGACGGGCCGGCTGGCAGAGGTGTCCTCGGGTCAGGTTTCTTCTGTGCAGCGAGGAAATGTCTCCCTTCCGGGCTGTGTGAGGACGATACGCGTGGACTGCGGTGGCTGTCTGTGCGCGGGACTGGCCGAGCCTCTCGCACGTCCACGCTGCGGACTCCCTGCAGCCTGCGCGGGCAGAGCTCTGGCATCGTCATCTGACACATACGGAAACTGAGGCTCGTGGAGGGGACGTAAGCCACTCAAGGTCGCACAACTGCTGTGTGGGGGAAGGGCAGGCCTTGACCTCGGCCTGCCTGGCGGGCTGAGGCTTTCTGTGCTCTCTGCCGTGCGCCGCTCTGCCCCGAGTGCCATCCGTGCGCGGCCGCCACCAGCAGCAGCAGCTCACAGACCAGGACTCTGCTGCCCGGAAGGAAAGGACGGATGCTCAGGGCAGACTCTGGGACCCCGCTGCTTGGGTTGCAGCAGATCACCTCCCCAGCACCTCTGCGCGGAAGGGGAGGGCCGGAGACCGGAAGGCGGTTTCTTGCCTCTTACTCGTCTGTTCAGGCCACCTCCGTGACAAAGTGCCACAGACTGGTGGCTAAACAGCAGACGTTTATTGCCTGTCAGTCCCGGAGGCGGGAAGCCCCAAATCAAGGTGCCCGCAGGCTTGGCTTCCCCTGAGTCTTCTCTCCTTGGCTTCTAGACGGCTGTCATCTCACTGTGTCACCATGTGCTCACATGGTCATCCCTGTGTGTGTCTGGGCCCTCATTTCCTCTCTGTAGGACACCAGTCATGCTGGATTAGGACCCACCCTAGCGACTTCATTTACTATTTAATCTCTTTAAAGATCCAAATACAGTCACATTCTGAGAGACTAGGGGTTAGGAATTCAACATATGAACTTGGGGGGCGCACGATTCAGTCTGCAACTCCTCCCCTGACCATGGGGGTCAGGGTGCCTTTCTGGGCCCAGGCCCCCAGTAGCTTCTGTGGCTTTGGCTCTCCAGCCAGGCAGGGCTCTGCTCAAGTGCCATCTCCTTAGAGAGGGCTTTCCTGAGTGTCCTGCCTATAGAGCCCCCTTCCCCTACCCCGGAACTGATTCTCTTCATAATGTTTGTCAGCACCGGAACTTGCTGTGTGTTATCTGCTTGTGTATTACCCCTCTCCCCACTGAAATGTCAGCTCCATGAAGACAGAAATTCCATTTCCAAGCTTTATTCTCAGCACTTAAAATATCGCCTGAGTTTCAGGTTGGGTGGAGAAAGGCAGGGGAGGAGGGGGTGTTGAATAGGCAGAGCACAGGAGATTTTTAGGACAGTGAAACTACTTATATGACACTATAATGGTGGAGACGTGCCACTGTGTCTTTGTTCAAAAACCATGGAATGGGCTGGGCATGGAGGCTCATGTCAATGATCCCAGTACTTTGGGAGGCTGAGGAAGGAGGATTGTTTGAGCCCCAGAGTTGAAGGCCAACCTGGGCAACATAGCAAGACCCCATCTCTAAAAAAAAATTAAAAATTAGCAGAGTGTGATGCCACACACCTGTAGTCCCAGTTACTCAGGAGCCTGAGACAGGAGGATTGACTGAGCCCAGGAGTTCAAGGTTGCAGTGAGCTATGATGATGCCATTGCACTTTACTCCAGCCTGGGTGACAGAGCAAGACCTTGTCTTAAAAAAATAAAAATAAAAAATAAAAACCCCACAGAATGTACAACACAAAAAGTGAAATCTTAATGCAAACTGTAGACTTTAGTTGACAATAATGCATCAGTATTGGCTCATCAATTGTAACGAATATACCACACCAATGCAAGATGTTAATAATCGGGGAAATGGAGTGAGGTTTAGAAAGTATATTGAGAACTTTCTGTACTTTCTGTTCATTTTTATGCAAACCTTAAACTGTTAAAAAAAAGTCTACTAGTTTAAAAAAAGCACCGGGCACATAGCAGGTACCTAGTAAATATTTGCTGATGACTGAAGGAATCAAATGGTTAGCCTCAACTACCAGAGGTTCCTCCGTGCCCTGCGTGGTGCTGTGAAAACCTAGATGAGGCACAAGGCACAGACCCTCAGAACGGTTACAGAACTAGCAGAACAAAACACAAGGTCAGGAGTAGGCACAGTGTGAGTGGTAATCGATTCATTTTAGAGCTTCTGTAAATGGCCTGCAGGCAGGCCGTGCTACTGGTCACCTGCAGAAAGCCCCCCCTCCAAGGCTGCAGGCAGCCCATGCTACTGGTCACCTGCAGACAGCCCCCCCTCCAAGGCTGCAGGCAGGCCTTGCTACTGGTCACCTGCAGACAGCCCCCCCTCCAAGGCTGCAGGCAGCCCATGCTACTGGTCACCTGCAGACAGTCTCCCCCACCGTCCAAGGCTGCAGGCAGGCCTTGCTACTGGTCACCTGCAGGCAGCCCCCCCTCCAAGGCTGCAGGCAGGCTGTGCTACTGGTCACCTGCAGACAGCCCCTCCCCTCCAAGGCTGCAGGCAGGCCTTGCTACTGGTCACCTGCCCCAATGCCATTGGGTGGGGTAAATGAACAGGGAGTCGCCGCCCCAGCCCATCTGGGCTCCATCCACTGAGGGCCTGCCCTCCGTGGCTGGAGGTCGCTCCTGCCTGATGGACCGGGAGGCCCTGCCTGCAGCCTTGGAGGGGGGGTGCCTGCAGGTGACGCAGTAGCAAGGCCTGCCTGCAGGCCTTGGAGGGGGGCCTGCCTGAAGGTACGCAGTAGCAAGGCCTGCCTGCGCCCTTGGAGGGGGGGCTGCC